ACAAGTATAGTGTCGTAAGCAAAGCATTTTTGTTCTTCTTTTTTTTTTTCTAATAAGTCGTTGATATACAATGCAAATAGGATTGGAGATGAATGAATCCCTGGGGAACACCAGCGTTGATGGTAAAAGTTTTCGAGAGATATCTATCGATGACCACTCAAAAGGAACTTCCAGGAAGCTGGAGGGCCATACACATGAGTAATTCGACAAGCAATTGCATCAAAGTTAAGTCAGCAAATCCTCATGTCTCACACGGTAAAAGGCCTCAGAAATATCAGGCTCAACAGCTCTCGACTTGCGTTATTCCAAATATGAGTGATATACGATAGAAGGTCGCCTGTTAATATTTGGTTCCAAAAGTCATTTTGATGATCGCTCAATATGTTGAAGCCCTTTCAAATATTTGAGGCTTTGTTCATGATTTTTTATATCACTGACTGCAAAGCGATGGGTTCATTTCATTCGAAGGTGATAGCAAGCTCGCAATGTTTTTGAATCATATTTCGTTAGTAGTTTACTCATTAAAAAAGGAATATTTATACATCGATGCAGATTAACCTCTGTTTCTTCAAAAGCATAAGTTGATAGTTCATCACATTCATATCGATCGTTTAGACATTCGAAAATAACACTGAAACTATCTCCATTTAGCATATCTGTAATGTCAAACTTAACGGAGTTTGAATTGTTCTCAAACACTAATAAGTAATCCACTCCGAAGAAAAAATGTTTAACGCCAGGTGATCCCAAAGAAGATTCCGAAGTGAAATAATGTATAGTTTAGGATGAGTTGTTGGGTACTTTTCTAGAAGACTAACAAGTTCTCCTTCTCGCAAATCATTATTGGCTCGTTCATAATTCGAATTAGCACAATCTTCGGTTATTCAGTCTTGCTGCTGCTTATTTGCAACCACTTCAATAGATTTAGTTGACAGAACAGTGGAATGTATATATAAATCGTGAACTTGATCGTGAGAATGGAATCAATTTACTCAGACTTATCGATCTTGATATCTTCTGAAGATTCGGGTTTCCCCACGACAGAATCATCCTTCATTCCTGAAAGTAGGTAACGGTTTCTTATATGAACCCTGAACTGAACAAGCGGTTAAGTCAATGTGGAGCGGCGATAGAATTTCATCCAGAAACATACCAATCCCACTTGTCTGCTGAGAATATTCCAGTCTCCTTCAAGGAACGTTAAAAAAAAGTAAAAAAAAAAATAATTCTCAATAACCGTAAAGCCACGCCATAGGCATAGAAAAGAATAATTTGTATAAACAAAATAAATGAATTCACTGAATACATTATTTTTGTGAATACAGTGAATTTCCAACACTGGATCTGGGAGCGGACATAATTTATTTAATGGGCGCTTGAATGTTTCTTGGTATGTGAGAACTGTTGCCACTTGAACCACTCGAACCGTCCAGGATGCATCATCAGTACCTTTTAGTCGCTATTGAAGACAATGACTAGATTCCTCCTGGATGGATGAATATCCTCCTGGATATTCAGGCGATAACTTTTGTCTAATTTCTACTAATTTTATCATTCACAAACAATAACAAAGAAGATACCATAGCTGACATGATGGGGCGCATTGATTGTCCTGATTTGTGGATTTTTGAAAGGCAATATAGTTGTGACACCGTTGGGTTGAAAACTTGTAAGTTCCTTTTCAGTTGGGTATGTTGTCGCATTTCTTGAAGATGTCGTTTAGTTTGGCAATAACCTTTCGTAACGGGTTCCTGGATAATTTCGCATACCATCCGATAGTGATGAGAGTATAAACTTTTTCGTAGTAGTCGGATTTATGCAGAATTACTACTTTGTTACCTTTATCGGCTTTCAAAATACGTCTTTGTCTCTCAATCGCTTGATGACTTTTTTGTTTTCATTATCATGTTCCTTGAAATTTGATTCCTGACTTTCTCTAGAACCAGTCCTTTCGAGGAATCAGGCATATTTCGAATCGAACTTTCAATACTAGCAAGGAATTCAAGGGCTTTCTCGGAAGACGGAATGCCACATTTTATATCATTGTTCAATAGGGGGATCTTTTCCTTATTAAATTTTCGTGATGAATGATTCTTACCAATGTTTATGACTTTCGAAGTGGCTTCTTTTTGCTTATTCTTAGACATAAGGGCTTTGAGTTTCTTGTTCAGAGTACACATTTTTCTGATATATTTTGTTCCACTCATCCGAAATATACTTCTCTCCAAAATTTGTTAACGTGAATATTCCTATCAAATCTGCAGTTTCTGATGAAGTTCAGAAATTCGCCAAAGAGAAATGGCTTGCTCCTGAAATCGATCATCTTCACTCTAACCGTAGACACTTATAATTAGATGAATATAGTCTATATAGAAAACTAATATATACATCAAACGAAAATGATTATGCACAATTGAATGACTTCCAAAATGACGCCGGGAAAAATAATATTTTCATCAAGAAGGTCCCTTGTTTTCAATACAACCATTGTGAGAAAATATTCAGGGGAAATATTCCCAATGAAATTGATTGAAAACAATGGACCAATTTACCGGCAAGCTCAATCCCAGACCTTACTCTTTTATCTTTTTTTATCTTGGAATACATGAAGGCTAGAGGTTTTTCGACACCTATTGTAAATATTGTTGATCAAAAAATAAGAGATGCATCCAATAGCATTACATTCATCATGCTGGAAAATTTCCACAAATATTGTATGGACAGCAGTTATGTGCATTCAAGAAAGAGGTCGTCCATTCGAGCAATCAATGTAATTTGTCATGTTCAGTTCATCTACTGTATTGGTTTTATTTTCAATCTGCAATTCACTGTGTAATGAATTAATTTTCAATTTGATTGTTCTTACAGATGATGCTGGTTATTCGAAATAAAACGCTTCAAAAATATATAATCAATAACACTGAATTGTGATTTGATCGCTACATGAATATGTACAAGTCCGCACTCGAATAAAATGTTGATGGTGCCCGTGTTGATATGAAACGTTCATTCATTAGTCTAGTAAATTTCGGATACAATGAAAGTTTTTTCGCCATCTCATTATATTTTATGAAATAACAATTATATGCGTAAAATCAAGAAACATCAATTTTTATGCTAGAACGAAAGTACCTACAATTTTTTTGACCATTGCACTGTTCACCACTATAGTAACTTTTTCCTCCCATACAATCTTCTCCATATTTGTTACGGTTTAGAATATAGCAAAATTCACCAGGAGAAGAAAATTGGACGATTTAACGCTACTTTCCCTCAATGGTGACGTTATTCCATTCGAAACGGACGTGAAATACCTTGGCATTGTCTTTGACAAAAACGCACCTGGAACGCTCACTCGCAAACAGTTTCACACGAAGCCAGAGTGTCCCTATGGAAATGTCGAAGAATTTGTGGTGAAACTTGGGATACAGGTCCCAAAACAATCCATTGAATTCATGTGATGATTATCAGACCAATGATCACTTGAAACACTTGCAACCGTATTAGGAATCACACGTTAAGAGGTAAGACCTCGTTAGTCTTTAGCTCGCACAAGTTTCTCAACTTCTGAGAGTTGTCGTTCGTATGGGGGCGACAGCTGATTAACGGAAAAACGGATTTTGAACAGATTTTTTTAATTACCTGGTTGCCGGAGGCTTCACAGAAAACGAGTCAGGCAAAGTTCTCTGGTTCACAGAGACAGGCTTGTCTGGCTGTTAGTGATGTCATAAGCACTACATTGTCAGCGGCCATGAACTAACTGCATTAAGATTTGTGCACATTGCCAATTGCACAAATCAATTTAATGCAGAGTACAACAGACTGCTGGTTGACACTGGAAGTCACAACATTCTGCGAATGACCTCTGACTTTATGCTTCCAACTGTCAACTTCGAACTGCCTTATAAATTACTGTTCCCGAGTAGAGAGGACTGGATTATCCGGAAGAAGGGAATATTTAGAGGTGATAGTTGTTGGTTAACAGATGGATCGAAAATAACGTCAAGCATAATCTTCAAGGATTGGCTCACTCCAAGGCGTTTCTTCACCCTTCGAAGCTCGTTACCAAATAGTTGTTGGACTACAGTAGAGATGAAATGTGATGTCTAACAGGTCTTCTCACAGATAACTATCAGTTGAATCATCATATGCAGAGACTCAGACTGCCGTGTGTTGCCTCTGTTTGGAGAATGGTCAAACAGTAGAGCACATACTTTGTGCCTGCCCCGCTGAGGACCGAATCAGATTTTCAGAGTTTGGCAGATCCGTACTCTTACCATCTGATCTGAAAGACCACTAACCATACAATCTAATCGGCTTCATTAAGAAGCTGGGTTTATTTGGTCGAGTGTGAATACGTGTGGGCTACAATAAATCCTTGGGGGTTATGGTGGTGGGTCGAACAGACCCACTCACTTTTGACCTAACCTAACCAATAGCAATGTTACCATATGATGAAAGGAACGGCCTGTATATTCCAATTCCTGAAGTTGGTCTGGAGAAGAGAGAAGTTTGTAATGTATTGCTTTCAACCTGTATTTCAACAGTGATTATTTTCTATTCTGATGAAAGCCATACCCATTTTTGTTTATGTTCTCAAATTAATCACATAATATCTGAAGAAATGATTTTCTGCTCATGTCCATAAGTTATACAACATGTACTTTCATCGTGATCAAATAAAATGCAAATGATGATAATAACAATCATTATCATTGAAAGTATTACAGTCGTTACAAGTCAATGAAATATTCGGTGACTGTATTTAAATCACATCCTCTGTGTTCAATATCAGTAAAAAAAAATTCACGCTTCTCTGACCTATCCTGGTCAAACATTCATGTTCATGTTCAGAGAAAAACGCATGCTATTGAATTATACGAGTATTACTATCGCTAACATAAATCCCCTTAATCAACATGTGACCCACTGACTGGGGAAGATGGTCTCTCGTCTATGTACGAAATATCTGGGCGCCTACTTCCAGTACCATTACATTTCTCCTACTTTCGAGTCATTCGGTGGTACTTCCAGTGCCGACTTAACGCTTCAGCAGAGTAACGCAAGTACCACAAGTACTACATAATCATTACCAATCGCTGTTTATTAAACAATTCTTCAGTTGTAATCATTGTTATTCAATCTAATGAGTTTTCGCCGTAACTCGTTCGTACGTTTCAGTGATAGTTTTCGATGAAATTGGTGTTGACATGACTGGGAAAATTGAGAAAATGCTGCGTACCGTACACTGAGAACCCTGTGATTTATTCAAAGTGAACAATAAGTTTTCATTAATCTCTGTTATTACGTATAGTCGGATTCTAGTTGAAGTCAACCGGTAAGTAAAAGTGAGTTCATTGCTGACCTCAATGCAGCGATATTACAGTACACTTTCCATGAATATTAAACCATGTTGATCCATAAAAATAAGAGTATTTTGATCTCGGCGGTAATCGAAGCTATTTTTCAAAGGAAAGGTTAGCCCCATAATCATTGAATGAAAATAAAAATGTAAATGAATTGGATTTTTTCATTACGCGAAATGATTTTTTGAAACACCTACACAATCTCTATTTGAAACACCAAACAATATCTATGAATTCTTTCTATTTTCAGATGCTTTAACGAAATATTTTTAGATTTCCATTCGCTATTCCATTGAAAACACATCATATTTTTGATAATCAATTGATTTCTCATGATATTCAAAGATAGAAAATTTCTAATTTCTTCTCAATCATGAGATAGTGAAAGAAAATACATAAAGAAAAAATATGAACACTATAGTTAGAATATACAAAGATGGTTCAACTCGAAAGGATATATTGAAATATTATTCAAATACAACTATAGAATGATTCAGAATTGAAGAAACAAAATAAAAATAAAAACATATGAATCGAATTTTATTGTAACAAAGAATTGGAATGAAATACGTAATTCGAACAGATAACTGAGGTAAAACAGCATTGGTGAATGCAAAAATATGTTAACTAAGTTGAAACACAAAGTGGAGTGAGAAATTAGGTTTATGAAAATTCACGTGATATACCTATATACACAAATGAAAATTATTTCAATTGAATCTAGAAAAATATTTTCATTCGCATTCACGTAGACATAGAGAAATATACATATTACCATTAACAAAATCAAAACGTATGAAGTAGACAATATCGGTGTATCATCAAAAAAAGAACCTTCAATAATCATCAACCAAATTCAATCTTTATGAAAAGCTGGAAATCACTGAATGGAAGGAGTGATAGGTTTTTTGGGGAGTAAAGAGCTATTCAGCTTTCCACTTCATCATTGCTCCATTATTGAAAAAATTTGGGTATCTTCCCAAGAAAAAAAAATGATAACATTGGAAAATTCTTTAGATATATAGATCATGCATAGAAGTTTCTCAGGAACAAACTGTAGAAGAAAACCCTTTCAAAACATTAATATACCTATGAAAACGTATTTATATGAAATTTCACTCACACGGAATAATTATTTTATTTTTTTGAGTTTTGGGAAAAGTCCCATCATCAATGATGGAAAAGTAGAAAGACAAAAACCTTCTTAACAAAAACGTTCACTTCAATTCAAATTGTAATAACTCGATAATGCTATTCCACATAATGTCAAACAATGATGTTTGAAAAAATTACTCCGCATATAGTACCATATATATTCCACAGTACAGGTGTTTCAGGGATAATAAAATACGCTGCTCTGTTTTTCTGAGTGTTCATCCATTGCGAGTTCTACAAAGTCAACATTTCGTTGTCATCCCAAATAGCACAAACAAGACTTGGTACTACTACTGCTTCGTAAGAATATCCCTCACGAATCATAGTGATAGTCAAGTGATCATTTTTCTCAAAATAACTTTCGTCAAATTTTATTTGTTGCGACCGGTTTCGATCATAAAATCTGTACCTGGTAGGCAGTCCTAGATTGAAGAAAAAATATGAAGAACCAAGAAGAGCACTTGATTACTGCGTGAACGCAAGCGAGACATATGTGGAACCACCTTGGTGGAACTGATCATGCCCAACTTGCTGAAATAGCTGTACATCCTGGGTGTACATCCGTTCGTCTTTGACATTATCACGACGTTTGGTGATCAATCAAGAATAGCACATGAATTTAGCAAGTGCGATTTTGCCGAAACGCCGTAACGGACAGACGACACCCGGGATGACATTTCAGCATGCATATTATTTCCCAATTCCTTCATATGGGCTATAGAAAGTGAAGGAAAGATACAAATTCCAATGGAGTTGTCTAACCCAAACTATTTCTAAACATCGTTGCATTGTTATAGAAAACATAACTTTCATTCAATTTATCCAACCATGTAGCCTGAATAATAGTCGTTCACGAGTAGGTATATTTCAAACTTAAATACACAATTTACATTGAGATTTTCTATTTTAGTTGAAAACAATTTCGTTTCATCCCAAACAAGTGAGGCCTCAAAATGTTTCATTACATAACTTTCTGTCAGGTGCCAAGGCTCTATATGATTTTTTTCGCAGAATGAACTTGACTATGAAAAAATCGCTTCAATTTTGAAATATGTATCTTGCTCAATGAATAACTGCAACTACTTTCGGCTATTGTTATGCATTATAGGGTCCGTTATTTATTTCATTCATCTTGAATGTGTAAATTTTATAAGTTTTCCTCCTATTTTTTGTCCGTTATTGGATTTGTTTGAATAGCAAGAAATCAAATATTTTTCTCATAGCAGACACTGAAAATTGTGACTCCACTAGTAGAAGACGATACCAATTTCTCCAGTGGCAGAAAAGTCTACTGTTCAATTGAAACCAACGTATTGATGTATTGATTGGATAGAAAGAAATAGTTTCAGTGACTTTAGAAATATATTCGGAAGGATAATATCTCAAATTGTATAAAAAGGATATATTTTCAGGAGTGATGCAATTTTTGAAAAAGGAAGGTTTTGGTTCTCTACTTCTTTTTTAGTCTTCATACGAAATGATTGTGATTCGATGTGAATAGTTGACTTCGAACCTGATTGCCTTATTCCTTTCTTTGGAAGATTCTGAAGAAAGAAATCCCGCCTTGAAATATCCCTGTTCCAATTTAAACAAGATTCATATGGCTGTGATTGAATCAAAGCAGCGAATGAATGTCATTAGGTACCGTCATCAATGACATGAGTAGATATAACCCATTCGTGACATTTAGGCAATGGTCTTATTCCGACACATCACCAGTGAGAATGACAGTCTTTCATGTAGACTGAATGGAAAAAAGTGTTTTTTGAATAATTCAATGTTCATGTAGATTATATAGAAGAAGTTGTTTGAAAAGTGGTTTCCTTTCGTGTAATTCAAAGTAGTTATTTCAAAAGGATTTGTTCTTCCTTCAAGTTCGTGTCTGAAACTCACTTCTTTGCACGATCTAGACATCTTTATAAATAGTTCATTTTGAAATCAATTGCTCTTTCCCTCTTTTGGAAAGATTTCCAGAATTTTTTCGTATGGAGATATAGAAAGCCAAACCCTCCCTTTCCCAAAATAATATATCTTATCGTGGTGAATAATTTTTGTGGTTCTCTGACAATTGAACTGCGGCAGCATATGTATGTATAAATAAATTAGGATTTTCACAAACATTATATTGTTGACGCTAGTTGACGATTTCTACCATATATAAAATAAATTTTGAATTCAGATTAATAATTTCACTTACTACGCGATGTTTTCATCTACGCACATACTACACATCCAACTTCAGTTCAACATGCCTCTCGATATTGACAATATTTTTTTTAACATTTGGCAAACTTTGTTGCACAATTGTTTTCTAATAAAGAGATAAAATACGTTCTGCTCTCTTGGCAACTTTTATGCAACAAACTTATAAAGAAATGACTGGTTTTACCTACTAAGAATCCGACAGCTATTTCGAAATTGTTTTTGTTTTATGCTTCTTCACTGTAATTACGAAATATACCACTTTCTAGTGGTGTCTGTCACCGGTGCGATTGGAATATATCAAAATTTCACACAACAACGTATTGAGTTATGTTTTGTTGTCGAATTCTTGATGTACAGTGCACATCAAAGTCATATTGGCAAGCTCGTTGTAGAGTTTCATTTGGTAAATCCGTAAAATTCACAACATACAGGCTTGTGCTGAATTTAATAACAAGTTTAGATGATTCAAAGATATTGCTAATCAAACGAATCATATCAAATATTTTCTTTTTGAAGATAATTTCCTTGTCTCTCAAAATAATCTTCATGATGAATGGAGCACCCTTTGATCGTTTCTACTGTGATCAAATTTCGTCAATACCGAGAAAATTCATTCTTTTTCACATAGACTAATAAGATGAACTGGACACTGACACAAACGACTATATATTTTGACCGTTTCTATCGAATACTGAATTGTATGCAGTTACATATCTATGTTGCATAAGAAATAAAAAACTGTTTTCGACTATTTGATTTGAAAGTTTTAGCTCAGATTTGAATTCGAAAACAAACGATAGATTCATTTTTGGAACGTTTACTTATTTCAATCACATATTAATATCATAAATGAACCTACTTCTTCTTACCCAATCATTGTTCAGAATTTCGAAAGTGAGGATTTCCTGATGTGATAAAGGATTCTCAAAGTATCTTTCTACATATTCCAATGTTACATCACATAAAAATCCCACATCTTGAGCTCAAACAACCTACCAATATTTTTCGAGTAGAAGGATGAAAGGATGTCTCTGGAAATCAATAAGCGTAAACGTTCAGGTTTCCTGAATCTCAATTGGCAAATGGTTGAACATTTTTTTCCATTATATATGAAAGACTCCTCCATTTTTGATGATATTGGAATCAGTAAACCTATATTGAGCTCATTTCTGGTATTTCGCTGTGGTGAAATTAAAATTTTCCGTCCTGTATTATTATGCTTTTTGAATAAAGGTTGACAGGAATCCCTGAATTCAACTCTACACATATTTTTAAATCCTCTTTTTTGTAGTACAAACACCATACCAAACATGTATTGGCAACACGTTCCCCAAAAACAGATACCATATCTCAGATGGGAATCGATGAGAGCAAAGTACACATTTTTTGCCATATTAGTGCCCAATTCATTTACTTATACTCTGACTGCAAAGCATCCTGATGAAATTTTCTACATAGGTTACTTATGTGACCTTCAAAATCCAAATTTTTATCGATTTGTAATCACAGAAATCTTGCTGACATTTTGTTCTCTATTAATTGAGTACCCAGGTAGATATCTAGTTTGGAGCACTTGAGGGTGATGATGCTAGTTTTTGAGATATTAAATGACAAGAGATTAG